AGTTTTTAAGACTAGAAACAAAGTATGAAGGAGTTTTGGCATATTTAATTAAAACTGTCAACATTTTAATCATAGTATTCATACTTTCATACTAATATTATAAACGCGAAAGTTTAGATGAATGATTGTTAGAGTTTGTTGCCTAAACGGCTGAACGGATTTCGATGAAATTTGGTATAGATGTAGAAGATAGTCTGATAGAACACATTTTTTTTTATAACATAAGGTGGCAAAGGAGCAACCGGCCTCCTGAATCCGCCAATATGGCAAACCGACCGCTGCCCTTGGACATCTGCAATTGCAGATGCGTTGCCTACCCTTACCCGACGGAGGAGAAGACGCACTTAAAGAGGACACTTCCCTTCCTATGCATCTCCTCCACCGTCAAATCCACTTCCCCTTTCCATCATAGGCTACTCGCTTTTGTTTTTTTTAATTCCACGCGGAGTTGCTGGTGCAAGCTAGTATGGATTATTATTACAGTTTTAATGAAGTTTTTAATGAAACTTACAATGTTGTCATCGTTATTCATTTCATATTGCAAGACATTAGTATCGAGTTACCTATCCGCTCTATTTAGCGAAGGGCGATGAATGACACGTTCATTATGCAACTGTGATCATTTGTAATTATTACTAACAATTATATTCCTATTTAATAATGATTTCATGATCATTCACTTAAATTACGAATTTTAAATGAGACACCACATGTATCTTTATTGAAGAGTGTTGAAGCACATCACTATTTGATAAGGAACGAGCTCACCATTATAATAAAAATATTTATAAATGTAACAGTTAATTTTCCTTTTTAATTTAGTTTTATTAAGCATTAATCTTTGAACTAACTTTAACACCACAATAGTAATACTCTTAATGTACCAAAAAAACATTAAAACCACTAAAATATCACAGGTCTATAAAATTAATACTTATGCTGAAGCGTGAATAGGTTTCCTTTAATCTAAATTTCCTTGTGTGTTGCCTTCATTGGGCAGTGAACCCCATAATCCTATCAATGATCACGTGCATTAAAATAGAAACAAAACTAAATTAATCAAGTGTCGTAAATGTGACATTAAAATGTACTATAACTTCGTCCTTACACCATTAACATTAGTTTTAATGGTCGAAATTAATGCGTCGCAATCGTTTCCTGGAAATGCGTTTCCATAGAAACGGTTTATGCTAATGAGGGTTTACTTTTACTGAGATATATTGTGAGATAAAGTTGTCTTATAGACGAGACAAAAAGAGGATTGGAGGATTGTCGCGGGTACTTTACGTTCGATTATCGCGTATTCGATCGTGAGTCTCGGCAGATGTCGCCGCGAGCGCAGCCTCTGCGACGCCGTGATTCATACGATAAGGCGGCACTGAGTCTGTCTGCTGCCATTAATTGAGAATTTGTCTCGAACGCAAACCTGTGTACTTATTTGCAGCCTGAGAATTCAATGCATAGAAATTATAGCAATGTTTAAGACTGATTAAAAAGATTTATCAATTTATACGTCAAACACTCATGAAACTCTAACAAAATGTTCTTACCTCATGTTATTAGTTAGCTAGTCTTTGTTATAGATTAATTTTTGTAGTTTAAATGATGATCGCACTTTTTAATATAAACCTTTTAAATGAGCGATTAAAGTATCAAATCATTTAAAGTACCCACACAATACCCTCATCGTATTTTACAATTGAAATATAATCGACTAAGTATTGAGCGCTTGCGTTACCACTAAACATATCTTTCAAAGCGCAGTGCATTATTTTAATATTTAATATTGCTATTGGAATATTACTCGGTGTGTACCAGCCCTTATAGGCTCAATTTACTGTGTACTAATCACGTCGGCCAGTGTAGAGGGCATGAATGAAGCAAAATGTTCCGCCGGCTGCGTAGGCAGGCCTCCGTCGTTAGATAAACTTGAAGGCACTCATTAATATCCCTCGTATTTAATAGCGTGCGGAATAACGAGGGAATATTAGCTGGAATTAATTTAGTAAGCCAACGGAGAATTCTATTAGCTCTAAAACTTTAAATTTGTAACTATATTTGACTATAAAAATTTGAAATTAAGAACCGGATACGAAAAATGTTGCAGTTTTGAGTTTTATGTTTTCTATCGTTAGACGTATTTTCTTATTATTTATTAGGTCGTTAATCGACAAGAAAAGTAATTGGAAGTTGGATGAGTTTTGAAAATAAATCATATCGCGTGTTGTATACATTAATTTAAATGGATATAAAAGATGGAATTAGAATAGAAATTTTGAATAATAATTGACTTTGATATTTATAACTTGTTAATGATAGAACATTTGTCTGAATATTTGCATACATAAATACAGGATGCGTTGATATATAATTGTTGAATATTTATAGATTAGTGAAAGCGTAGTTTTCAGATCACTGTGTTTTGATCATTCAAAGATGTGTGTTTTTATATTCGTAAAACTTGATTAGACTTCCTTGAGAGCCGCAATGCCTTCATTTGCTACAAAGCCTAAATTGTAGCGAACAAAATATTGTACTATTGTACCAATTGCAGTGTTAAGGTGAAATTTGTATATTGTTAACATTATACATTTTATTAAACTTGAGCGACAGTCTTTGTCACCGTGAACCGGTTCACTGGTGTGCTGGCATACTTCGTGATTACTTTTACTTCTTCGTATTAACAAAATAAATGTTAACACAGGTGATACACGATACAGGTCAAATGGAAACTAGATCGTATTTATAAATAGTTCTACTTCGCTATTAGTTTATTGCTTGTTTTCTAACTATATGGAAACTAGCCGTTGCTCGTGACTTATTATTGTTATTCATAAATAACGTAGCTTTTAAAATCGGCCCAGTAGTTTTTGAGTTCAATACACCCAAAAATAAAAATCTTTATAATATTAGTATAGATTTATGTCGTAGTCTTTTTAAGGGAAAAAATATCTTCTAAATAAATGCAGCATGCTGTTGCATTTTTAACTTTGTTTGATTTTTATAGAATTAATAGGTATTACCTAGAATTATCGTCACCACTTAATATTGTATGCATATATAGTTCATGTTTATCTTATGAAACTTTTAAGTGCATTTGAAAAGTTATTCTTCAGTAAATTTGGGCGATATCGATATAAAATACTATGTTTGCATTTCACGTATACTATCGACACAATGACACACGTAGAAACGCTCAATAAAACTGCGAGTGTAAACTAAAACAATGTTTAAAAAGTTTTCGCGCGACCTTACGAACTTTTTGCTTTCTAAATCTCACCGACTACAACACATTGTGTAAATCGACTGTGTATTTAGATATATGTGACACGTTTCATTTTATAAAAAAAATGAGAATATTTCAGCCGCGGAATTTCTAAAAAATGAGCTATAACTTTCGTTTTACATTTTAAAATATGTTAAAAGTCAAAAATCTATGTTTCAAGAACCGTCTCAAAGACAATTTACTTCTCTTTCATTCTTTTCAAGAGAAATATAGAAAACGTTTTTCTAATCATGGTACGAGATTTACAAAATGACGTTGCAACTACTGCTACATGACATGAAATTTTTAGTAGAATATCTGTTTTTACATGTACCGTAAGGTAAAAATATCTAAACGATGTGAATTGAAATGCCAAACAAATCACACGTTAAGTATTAGAACAGTATGCAGCTAGGAATAACGGTTGTGGTTACAAACGAGTGTTAATTCTACAAATGATAACGTGAAGTTCCACTACTTCGATTGTCGATTTTACGTCAATTTTTTTTTAAAACAATTAAAGCCTAGTTTAACATAATGTGTGAGTATCAGCGGATAGTGAAATATTTCGCTTTTATGAAGTGATCGTAACTGTACTTAATAGAAAATCATTAAAACCAGCATCGCACGACGGCTAATAACAGCCTGCAGTGAGATACCATCGCTAACTGTTCCTCGATCCCGCGTGGACTAGCTTAATTATTGATAGTATAACATTTGTATGCTTCTAAAATACAATTATCCTCTAACTCAACTTCGTGTTTCAATTTATAACTGTTGGAATCAAAGCGTTATGTACATTATCGTATTAGTCAAGATTATCAAAAGGAAGGAGGCTAGAGGAAAATTAAATTATATGTCTTGAGATCGTTGTTTGCAGTATACGCCTGTAAATAAACGTAAATAAAATTCGTAGGATTAACAAAGAAATCTATAGAGAAAAAATACAAAATAATCTATTTCAAACTGTTAACATTTTTTTTATATGTCATTTGTAATCTTACTGGTGGGAAACCTTAGTAGTATTACGAGTAAATACGAGTATATTGCAGCTCTAAGCCTGTATACATTTACCAAATTTCGTAAGTCTCGAACACGAGACGGTGTATGCACTGACAAATATATCACTGCCGCCACGTTTCAAATCCAGCATTATTAAAGACACAATCACGAATCCTGCCCACGATTCGCCACTTCATCAAAGATAAGCCTTCATTCAGCTAACATGATAAACTTCTTACGGTTATCCGTTACTAAGCGGACGTTTTGTAACCGGCTTGTCTGATTAAAACTATAATCTGACGAATTCCGTTGCGTTGCTTAACCCTTAAATGTATATTGTTGGCAAACAAAAATATAGTTTTTGTTGAAACCAAGGTTTTTTAATTATTTTTCCCTTAATCTGTGACACAAAACCTATACTGAAATTTAATTTCATAATTAAATAAAAAATCATGCGTTTAAGGGTAAAACGTACACAAAAGTGTTCATTATTTCGTACCAATATTATAAATGCAAAAGTTTAGATGGATAGATGGATGTTTATTAGTTTGTAGCCTAAGCGGCTAAACGGAAGTGGATAAAATTTGGCATAGATGTAGAATTTAATCTGGAATAAACATAGGCTAGTTACTAATGTTTTTTCTTTTTCAATTCCACGTAGACAGAGTCGCGGGCAAAAGCTTCACAAATAAAACAAATAACTTTTTTTTAAAATAACTAGTGTTTCATAACAAATAAAAATTATTCAATTAAGTTCACCTATTTTGGTTTTAAAGCAAACATGTAAACGGAATAAATGTTATCTGGGAAACCAGTTTGAACTTCAGATTTGATTATTTCAAGATTTGCTTCATTAAATATTGTCAGCATTTGTTTGTACGGGCGAGTAACAGATGAATCTTCATCGTCATATTCAAGTTCGTCAGTTGGTGCTATGTTTTCTTTTATAATAATCATACCATTAGAAGCTAGAGATTTGCTGCATTTACGCAAAAAGTCTACAAGATCATTGTTCGTCAGGTATCCTAACACCCATTGACACCAGATCAAGTCGTATATCTTGTCTGGTTTAAATTTCTGGAGGCTCTTATGGTATAATGTTCCGAGTTTCACATTGTTTTCACCAATTACCTCTGCAGCGGTGTTGATAAACTTTTCATCTTGTTCAACTAAATCGACTTTATCGAAATAAGGAACTAGTAAATATTTGCTGACTCTACCGACGCCCGCTCCACAATCCAAAGCTAGTTTTGTATCCAACGGGTCTTCCAGTGTTAATAAGTGATTTAAAAATGTTCTCGAACCATCTATGTCAATGTCTGAAATATGACCGAAGCCACCGAGCACGCCGTTTACCGTCGCCGGTACTTTAGCCCAGTAACTTGCAGCTTTTTTGTAAAATTTTATCTCTGCCATTGTCGGACATTTTTAACGCTGAATTTGATGACATTTGTGACAACTAGTGTTTTATTTAAAATATGTAAAATAAATAACAGCCAGTATTATCGTACACGATCAATACGTTAAGTGGTCTTCAATCAAATTGGTACTAGACTTGCACAACTATTTATATTTAGCTAATGCGGAAAAATCCAAATAATAGACTTCAGTTTTATATCACAATCTACTGATTTTATGTATTTCAAAATTCTGTACCTTTAAAATAGCAATAATCATAATAAAAAAAAATTGCATCATTTTTGTTGCAGGCGCTGATAGCGGCAGTAAACGAGACGCCGGAGGAGGACATCCGCGATGCTCTGAAGCAGCAGACGGAGCAGCTGGCGCTGGTGCCGCGCGGCCCGGAGCTCGTCAAAGACACCGTCGCGTACAATACCACTATCAAGACTGATGACACCGTGAGTTTCAAAGACATATAAGTTCACCTAATTTATTGTACTCGTTTTAAAAAGATGTAGTTTTTGGAGTTTTATATGTTTTGTTACTGGCAGGCAATAGTTTACACAGATAGGATGGGTTTTCAATATGGGAACAATGTGTATTTAAATTTTATAAGGAATAGTACAACTGATGTTTTTGTAATAATAAAGGCACAGTTACTTTTAATGTTTCGTTAAACACTGACGTTTTTTTTATTTGTAGAAGGAACTGCGTGCACTGCGTCCGGACGGGACGCTGGTGACGGAGACGCGGCATACCAGGGAGGAGGAACGGCTCTGCGACGAGGACTTGCCCGAACAAGAGGTCCGATAAGTGCAATATAACAAAAGAATGCTTTTTTACCCTGTTAACGATGTATAATGCAATGGATAGCCACTGTGTCCGCAAATCGGTGGTCCATTTTGTTGCGACATCTGTCCCAAAATTATAGTTGACTAAAATTCCGCTCGCAGTAGTATATAATGGCATTAATTTGACGACTAAATAAATAAATAGATGAATAAAGGCTTGTTAAAACAGTGTTAATTTGCCTTAGGCCGGTGGCATAGCGAGCGACGAGAGTGTAGTCGAGGAGCGCGGCGGTACGGAGAAACGCCGACGCGAGGACCTGGAGCGCAGCACCGACCTGATGGCGGGCGGTCTGCGCCTCGCCACACAGATACACTCCAGAACACGCACCGAAGAAGGTACAGAAATCTGTTACTGAATGTTTGATAGAATAAAACAATCTGATCATGTATATATTAGGATGGAGCACACCAACATATAGGTTACTAAAGATATGACTAGAGTAATATTTTAATGGATTTTTTTTTTGTTTTATACAGTTGAACGAGAAGGACAACCAAACATGGACGACGATTGGGATAGTTTATCGGTGAGATTGCGACGCCAGCGCCGCCTACGTTTGAACGGTGAGCAATAAAACTAAAATTGTATTACTACTCAATAACAGATGGCGCTAAGTACGAAGTGGAGTTTCATTATTCGCGTTTTTATTTTTACAACATTAGATGGCGCTGTTTTTACTTGTACCAAAATAAAAAGAAATCTAGTTTTTAATAGGGTAAATCTTATTTAAAAGTACATATATAAATAGTTATAACCTTTTTATCAAGATTTTTTTATATGTACGCAATTTCTACATTGTGTCTAGTCATAAAAGTGGTCAAAGCATATCAATGACTGTATCCGTATGGTATTGGTGACCGTATTGGTTCTGCCCACGGGGAAACAAGACTGTTATGGTAACAAGTTATGTTGTATTGGTTGTTAATCGTTCATTCTTTAAAAATAATTATACCCCAAGGCGTTGGATAAATGCGTCGTTGTAATACTCATTCCACGAGATATTGTTTTGTATAATTTTAAGTCACTAAACTGTTTTAAGATCAGCATAGCCATTACGATAGTATGTTCATTTCACCATATGATAACGCTTTCATTCATAATTTTTTTATCTATACTAATATTATAAAAAGGAAAGATTTGTATTTTTGTATGTATTCGATTCACGTAAAAACTAATACTGGGTCTATTTCAAAAATTCTTTCACCAATAGAAAAGTAAAGTACTCGTAACATAGGCGACATTTTTGTTACTTTTTTTTCACGTGGGCGAAGTCGCGAGCAACAGCTAGTTGTTAAATAATTTACCAACCGAAATACAAATAGATCGATGAAATTCTAAAGACTATTGTTAATATAAAACAATCGTCTTTTATATTTACAGTTAGTATGAACATTAGCGCAACTGAGAGCACCTGCTTCATTATGCTTTTATGTGCCAGTAACTGTCTTGATGAGCCGACACACGACAAACATGCATACCATTACCGTGTATATAATTAAATTAATGTTATATCTAACAAACATTATAAATGCGAAAGTTTAGATGGATGTTTGTCAGGGTTTGTAGCCTAAACGTCTGAACGAATCTTGATGAAGTTTGGCAAAGATGTAGTGATAATCGGGAAGAACACATAGGCTTTTTTTAATTTCACGCTGACGGAGTCGCAAGCTAGTAACTTATAAAGCTTTGGTAGAAATGTAATTCTTAAGCGCTAAAAAAAGACCTATTAAAGAGGAACCTTATATTTGCTCTCACTATGCGTTTTTCATGTTCACCAATGAGTTAAGACCACAATAAAATACAATAATATCCACACAAAAAATCAATCGGAAAATATAATATTTCTCTTTTCTTCATAAAATGAACTCTTAATCTGCAGCATATTTCTAGGTATGTTGCTAAAGTGAGGAAATTAGACATGGAACTCCATTGAATTTTTAGTTTCAAATCAATGGAAATGGAAGTTATAAATCATACAAAACTGAAATTATCAAGATTAAAATAGATTGGATAACTTTATTGAGGATCTAATCAAGTGCTTATGCAAATCACAACCTTCTGTCACCTTATACAGCAAAATACAACTTGATGTGTGTATTCTGTTATCGACTGTAGCCTTGATATACGTCTAAAGCCCGCTACACACGCTCAGTTTTATCTGATAGTTTTGTCTGAAGAGTCCGATCGTTCTGGTAAATTAAAATAAACTGAAGACTGTTCCGTTCCGAGTAAGTAAAGGGCTAAACAATTGTTTTCAGTAACTTGTAGTTAATAAATCTATGTACATCTAAATAAAAACTTTGTTAAAAATGATATCATAATCACTTGGTTTCAGACTTTTTAATTTAAATATATTTTTCTCATGAAATTTATATCGTATGACCATTTATACAAAGCTATTTTGAACCACATAATTATTTTCTTAGCAGTGACGATGATTGTATACGTTGCTAATAATGACGGATTAAAAAAAACACTTCAAACGAAGAAATGTTTTATGTAATTAGATTGTGCGTTCAGATAGATAATATGGGTAATTTAATACGGGTCCATCAGATGCCGTATTTGGTCAATCATTGTGCCCACGTAATACTTACGAGGTCGTTTGTGACTCGTCTTTGCGCACGTCTAAACCCATGGCCTATTCCTGTATTTATTATTTTATTTGATATCTTTAGAGTTTGTATGCCATTATCATCTTTTTAATAGTCTATTTAATAGTCTAAAAATATGAAAAAAAACTATGTAAAAGTCTTATTTGTGAATCCAAATTAAACATAAAAAAATGTAATTTTAATCAATGCGTTCCTAAGCACCGTTAGAACAATTTTAGCATTATTCAGGTCATTTTATTCCTTACAAGTACAGCGAAAGTTTTTTTTTCTAACGTGTTATGTGGTATTTGATTCCTTAAGAAGTTCTTAATGAGCCTTTCGTCATTTATTGACGGAGTACTTGTGAATTCCGCGGTGTGTAAATTTCGATTGCAGAGACGCAGGTTCCAAAGTCTTTTGCAATTTTCTTAGCATAGTTTTACTTACAATATTAACGGTACTTATGTTACTCTATTTATTGAGGTTCGTTAGTTATTTTTCTGTTTACTATTTAAAATAAAGTAATTGGATATTAAGTACATTTAGGAATTTTATAATTTAGGATATAAGCATGAAAAATCAAAATATCAAGAAAGCATTTTTTTTTATGTTTTGTTTTGTCTTAGATAAAGAATCTAGTAATATGCATATATGGTAATAAGTAAGGTAAAAAGGAAATGCATGATAACCTCTGAGCTACATTAGCATAAATGTGAATAATCCCGTCGCGATCTTTGAATTGTTTAAACTAAGGCTACATTTCTTGTCCGTAATTAGAATAATCACTGAAACGGCCGCCATGACCTAGAAATAATTACGCGCTTCATAATTTGTCGCGTCGGTACTGTCTTGCAGCTGTTAAGTAAAAATGACACCCGTGTTTGCAGCTCATTGCATTGACCTTCGTTAGTTTGGCAAACTTATTGACTGAACGATTACGCCACGTTGCGTGCTAGTGAGGATGGGAGCGGCCCCGCCAGCCGCCACTCAAACGTGA